GAAGGTACTTCCTATGAACACTACTTCAGAAGATGTAGGCCTTGCTCATATTGCACACTTGAAAGTGATTAAAGGCATTTTCAATGTAACACCTAAGTCTCTTTGAAAGCATATACTGCAAGTCAAGAGCACTGCTCAATATTCCTACTTTGGGAAACCACAGTTAGAGCCTGAAACAGCACTACGTGGCAGAGGGAGATTCTTACTGACTCCCTGCCTGCAGGACACACCATGAGTTGGGCTGATTGGTGTGCATATTTTCCCAGGTCTGTAACTTGTGGCTTGCCAAAACGAGCTGTCTAGCTGAGACGTTAAGCACCATCCTCGGCATGGACAGGATAAACTTCAATAGTCCCATGGACCTCTGAACCCAGGGCTTTGGCCATATTGGCACTGCCCTCAGCTCTGGCTACTCAAGGTATGGTGTTCTCCGAGCCGCAGCAGCATCTGGGAGCTTGTCCAAACCCTTGCTGCTCAAACTGTGGCTGCAGGTCTGGCAGCATTGGCTTCGTCTGGGAGCCTGTAGGTATTCAGAATCTCAGGTCCTACCTGAAGACTTCATGAATGAGAATCAGCACTTTATCAAGATCTTTAGGGGGTGGATAAAATCTGAAAAGCACTACCGTATTAGTTTGCTAGGGCTGCCTAAAGAGAGTGTCACAAACCGGACGGCTTAAAACGACAGAAAAGCATTCTCTCACAGTTCTGGAGGCTAAAAATCTGAAATCAAAGTGTTGGCAGGATTGGTTTCTTCTGAGAGCTGAGAGAATCTGTTCCATGCCTGTCTCCTCACTTAGGGTGATTGACAGCAGTCATTGGCATTCCTTGGCCTGTAGACCCATCACCGTAATCGGCTTTCATCATCACATGGCACTTTCCCCTGTGTCTCTGTGTCTGGCAGCACACCCAGACCCAGCTGATGCAGGGCCGATGCGGAGCTCTCTGGGGAGGTGCTCCATCAGGCTGTGCACCGGAATCACCTAGGGAGTGTTAAAACTACAGATGTCCAAATCGTACCTTCAGAGATTCTAGTGAAATTGGTCTGGTATATTGCCTGGCCATCAGGATTTTAAAACATTTCCCAGGTGATTCTAATCTGTAGCCAAATTTGAGAACTAATGGGATGGACGTTCTCGTTTCTATATAGTACAAAATAAGACAATTCAATTCCTTTTCCAGGTAGGGAAACAGGGTATAAGCACAAATAAATTTGATATTTTCTGAAGTATAGTTTGAGGCATTTTTGTTTGGTGCTCATGAATTTAAAATTATTGTCTCTTTCTTATCTTTATGATAATGAATTACTTCCTTTGCCCTAGTAACACTTTTCACCTGGAGCCTATTTTTTCCCCTGGTATTAGTACAGCTACATAAGCTAGCTTTCTTTTGACCAGTTAATATATATATATGTGTATATATATATATATAATTTTTTTTTTCCATCCTTTAACTTTCAAACTTTCTATATTCTTATGTTTTAGATGAAAATCTTGAAAGGAATATAGCTGGATTTTAAAAAATCTACTTTGAAAATTTTTATGTAGATGCTCTATAAACTAGAGCATTCAGTCCTTTTACACTTAATGCAATTAATGATATATATTGATGATAATAAATATTTAACAATTCATGGGATACTTTGCAGCGGTTGTAGTTCTCACAAGTGACCATGAGAGGGCGACTCCAGTGGACTCATAGGCATTTATAGCCTTGAAGGGACAGAGGAAACCAGGCATTTTCTCTCCGGGGTTCCACCACTGCTTCCAAGGGTGTGCCTTCCCTATAATGTTTGGGCATCCTCTGACCATGGGAAGAACAAGGATATGAGCTGGGGGACAGAAGTGTGGTGAACTGGGGGACAAAAGAGCAGTCCAATGGTCTGCCCATCCATGGGGTAAGTGTAGCTGAAGACATTCATTGGGCCGAGGGCAGAAGCTATTCACCAACTTGTATAGAAAATTTTCAGTATTTTAATAACCAGCACTGCTGTACAAGCCATTTAGAATAATATCAGTCTGCTTATATATTTGGATTTAAATCTACCATCTTATTTTATTTGCAATACACATTCTATGTTGGTTTTTCTCTCCTTTCATGTCCTCTTTTACTATTTCTTCTATTCCCTCTCTTGTAGCTTTTTAAAAAAATATTTTATTTGTTTATTTGAGAGAGAGCAGGGGGTGGGGTGGGGGAGGAGCAGAGGGAGAGGGACAAGCAGACTCCACACTGAGTGCAGAGCCCAGTGCGGGGCCCAATCCCACGACCCTGAGATCATGACCTGAGCTGAAATCAAGAGTCAGACACTTAACCGACTGAGCCACTCAGGCGCCCCTCTCTCTCTTACAGCTTTTAAGTTTTACTATGTTCTTTTCTTTTCTTTTTTTTTTCTAAGTAATTACCCTGGCAATTACCTCATGCATCTATGACTTTTCAAAGCCTGTTATTAATCAATACATTTACTTACCTCCCTGAAAATACCAGGGCCTCAGAACACCTTAATTCTATTTCCTCCTAGCCTGTACTATCTTCCTGTCATGTATTTTAATTCTTCGTGTATTTTTTAAATCTGTAAGATGTTATTATCATTATTTAAAGACAATATTTATTAACATTTACCACCTTCTTTGTTGTACACATCTTCTTGCAGCTCTATGTTATTCTGGGATCATTTTCTTTTTGCCTAAAGCATGTTCTTTACAATCTTCCTTAGTGAGGGTATTCTCTTTGTAAATGTTTTTATTTTGCCTTTATTCATAAAAAATGTTTCCCTGAAGATGGAAGAGCTTGGCAATTATTTTATTTTGGCAACCCGAAGATGTCGTTCTACCGCTGCTGCCTGGGAGCTGTCAGTCTGTTACTCCAAGAAAGTAATCTGCCTTTTCCTCTCTGGATGTTTTTAAGATGGTTTTTTTCATCTTTCTGTACTTACAACACTATTGTGTGTTGGTGTATAATTCTTTTTATTGATCCTGCTTGAAATGTGTTGAGCTTCTGGTTTTGGTGGTTTGGTATCCTTCTCAAAGCTTCTCAACCATCGTTTCTTAAAATACTGCCTCTGCTCCATTCTTTTTTTGAGATTCTGTTTAAATGAGAGACTTTCTCACAAGATCTAATAAACTCTTCTGCATTTCCTATCTTTTTCTCTCTGTGCTTCATTAGGATCATTTCTTCAGCTCTATATTTCACTTATTAGCACCTTTTCAATGGTGTGTAATATGCGGCTAAACACAACACATCCAATAATTTTGGTTATTGTAGTTTTCATTTCTAGAAGTTGTATTTGATTTTTAAAAAAAAATCGGTTGTGTCACTTTTTATTGTACTGTTTTCTATTTCTGGAAGAAATCTTCAAACCTGATTTTTTTCAATTTAATAAGTATTTTTTTTAAGAATTGCTGTTTGATAAATTCAATATCTGATGTTTTTCAGGGTCTCTTTCTGTTGTCTATTGTTTCTGTTTCTTCTCATTCATGGTGTCTATGCCTGGTTATCTTTGACTCTGTGCTAGCTATTGTAAAAAAAATTATTTGAATAATTATTTGAAGCCTAGGATGAAAGTACCTTCCTCTACATACGAGTTGCTTTTACTTCTGGCATGTTTGGGACCACCATAAACCAAGTTTAAGGTTCCCTGGAAGACCAATCAAACTGCAATGCAAGCTACAATTACTTGTGAGGGCTCATGTACTTATAATTCACATTCACCTTGAAAATGTGGTCCTTTTGGGTCTCAGCTTATTGTGAGGAGGCCCTATCATTACATTCCCCACCTTGAGTGGCCTTGGACATTGATTTCTATCTCTTTTGTTCCTGCTAGGCTATCAAAACCAATTTTCAAATTTGCCAGATTTAGCAAATACCCTGGAAAAAGGTAACTTTTGTACTCACTCATCTTTCTGAGTTTCCTTTTACCCATCATTCTCTTCTTGGTAATTCCTTAATATCTTGCCAACTCTTTGATGATTATTTAAAACTCTTTGATGATTATTTAAAACTTAATTTTTTAAGTTGTTTTCAATGGAAAAGTTGGTCCAAATAATCTAGCCCATCATTATTAGAAATGGAAAGCCACATAATGTCTTTCTTGGCACATGGTAGGCTCTCAGTAAATGATGGCTGAATTAGTTGAATTATCATAATTACCCAAACATGGTCTCTTCTTTTGCATTTACAAAGACTGTTTCTTACCCCTATGATGCATAGAATGTCCATATTCCACCACTGACAAGGCTTAGAACCAATGCCACCTCTTCCTCAAAGTTCTTCCTGTTTTCTCTACTTCCCCAAATCTGAACCCTCATGAGACCTGGTCTGTATTATTCTGGTTGCTTAATATATTAATATTAGAAATATAGGTAGAAATGTATTAATAGGTAGAAATATATTAATACAACTCTTTATCTCTTCTGTGGGTTTGTACTTTCTTGACTTTTCTGGGCTTCTGAAGAATCCCCTCACTCCCCCTCAAGCTCAGCATACATTACAAACAGATTCTTTGGAAAATGGTATATCCAGTACTTTGAGGTTTGATGTCCTGGGAGGGGATTCTTTGAACATTTAGATGCCATAGGCTGGAAGCAGGCCATAGCTCATTCTAATAAACCCTTACGTTTGTACAGCGCTTTAGAATGAACAGGGCACTCTCACATACATGTCTCTTACTTGTGTGTTACAATCATCATGCTGCAGATGGGAATCAGAGGGTAAGAGAGACTAAATAATATACCCAAATAGAGTCACGAAGCCAGAAATGGAATCCAGTCTTTTCTCTGCAAGACCAGGACTCATTCCAGCACACCACCATTGCTTCCCTAGATTATTTGTGTTGTTAGTCATTCCTGTAGCAACAACACCTAAAACTCTTTGGAAGTAACACTCGCTATGTGAGAGTACCTGTGGTGGAGAAGTCAGGTCAGAGGCAGCAGACAGAGGGGTTAGCTCTGTGAGGAACCCACACACGCCTCTCAAATGAAGGCTTTCTGTATCTCAGTCCTCCTTACCTCACAACCTTGGTCCCATTTCTCATGACTTGCATGTCCACCATACAGCCCCCAGTAACATAGGCAGCTAGGTTCAACTCTGAGAATTCAGCCTGAAGGAGAAAGCAAAACACAAAAGGAATCATCAAAAACTAATGATGCTAAAAACTACTAACATTTATTGGGTACTTGTATGTGTCAAGTACACACTTATGCCTCACCTGAAACTTAGGAAGTTGGTAATATTATTTACTCCCCTTTCTGAAACATGAAAAATCTGAGGTGCAGAGGCATGGTGCCATGTCCAAGGTCACATAATTAATAAAAGGCAAAGTTAGATTGAAACCCTCCTGTCTCTGATTCAATGACCCATGCTTTTAATCACTACTAATTTCTACTTCCTTGAAAGTAGAAGAAGCAACTCCAGCTTCAGGGCTATACGAGGCCAAAGGCTGTTCAAAACAACATCTTCCCTAGGTTTCTCCAGCTTCAGGTTATGCAGTGGTATAGCATCACAGCTAGTGATCGCTTATCCCTATTAATGGAGTCCTTTCATCATCTGCCCACTACTACCCCCTTTGGTCATGGCCCCACCCCTTCATCCACCTACAGGGTTACAGTAGAAGCACCATGTCCATGCACTGAAATACTGCTCTCTCAGTCACAGCTGATGGGGCTGGCACCTGACCCAGGGTGGAGGAATAAGGTGCTCTTGTTATTAGAATTTGAAACTGCTGAGTGATTCATGTAATTTCTTTCTAGGGGCTGTATTTAATACACAAAACCTAAGTATGATTGAAGATCATGTTTTTTGCCATCTGGATTGGGAAAGTACAGAAAATAAGGGGGCGGAGGGAGAAATGTCACGGTCAGTAAGTGAGGGGCAGAGGCAAGAGGTGAGGAGTACTCTTGATGTTTATGTGCCAGCTACGATCCTGCCATTGGGCTTAATACAATACCTCTGTATTTTTATAAATACATCTTTTTGCTTTCTTATTTGTTTAAGCAAGATCTGCTGAATTTCTGTTGCTTGTGACCAAAGCCCTATGGAATACATCCCTCCTACCAGATTATACACCCCCTGGGGACAGTGATTCCATGTTACTACAACCATCTAAGCTTCCTAAGGTAGCCGTAACAAAGTACCATCACTAGGTGGCTTAAACAGCAGAAATTTCTTTTCCCACAGTTCTGGAGGCTAGAAGTCCAAAAATAAGGTGTTGGTAGGGTTGGTTCCTTTTGAGGGCCGTGAGGGAAAATCTGTTTCAGGTTTCTCTCCTTGGCTTGTAGATGGCTACCTTCTCCCTTCTCCATCACATCGTCTTCCTTCTATACATGTCTCTGTATCCAAAGACCCCCTTTTTATAAGAATACCAGTCACACTGCATTAGGGTCCACCCTAACGACCTCACTTTAACTCTAGAAAGATCCTATCTCCAAATAAGGTCACATTCTTAAGTACTGGGGCTTAGGACTTCAACATGTGAATTTGGGGGGGGACAGTTCAACCCGTAACCCCATCCTAGAAAATGCATAGTACCAAACTGTGCCTTACACAGTAGATGCCAAAAGCTATTTCTCAGGATTAAATGAATAAAAATAGCTTCTCATACATATGAAAAACTCACTATGTGCCAGATACTGTCCTAAGCATTTTACATGTATGAATTAATTTAATCCTCACACTTATCCAGATGAAAAAACCAAGACAAAGAGAGATTAAATAACTTGTAAAACGTACACAGTAAGTAGCAGAGCCAGCATTTAAACCCAGGCAGTCTGACTCCAGCCTATGCTTTTAACTGCTACACCCCACTACCCCCACTGCTTAGCTGAATAAGGCACTGGGTGGATTACAACTGGGAATTTTAGGGACCTAAAAATAGCCCAGTTGAAGAGAAAACCAAGTTTATATTGAAGGGAAATATCACTTCACAGTGATTTAAATGTATCACCTTGGAAACATTTAACAGAATTATGACCAAAGACCTAGTCATCTCCCCAGATGACATTAAAGGAAACCCAGAGAGCTTATGTCTCTTGCTTTAATTAATAGCCTCATTATGTTGTGTCAAGGTGAAGAGCAAAGAGCTCTGTTAATGAGTCCAGGTTAGTGAATAGTGGTAATGACCTGTTTATTAAGTCTAATGACCTAAAAATTCAGTCCCATCATGTTTAAGATACTTCACTGGCAAGATTACAAGGAAGAATTAGCAATAAAAGTTGTTGCATGAGTGCGTGGAGAAAAAGAAGTTAGAAGAAAGTTGCAACACAGAACACTTGGGTACCAAAAATTTGAAGAAAGGGAGTAAATCAGAATCTTGAATGACAGAATTTCCAACTCCAAGGTGGCAAAGCCCCAGAGGCTGTCTTGCTGCCCGAATGGAAAGAGATATCTGGATAAAAGACACTCAGGCTTGGATATACAAGTTAGAAGTTCATCGTATTCAGCTTAAGGTTTCTAGAATTATTTCCCAGTTATGGTTTATGAATAAGTATAGGAGGTAAATGCCTGGGTTGTTAGGGGAGCAAGTCTCTGTTGGATCAAGCATAGAGAGTTGGGGTAGCGAAGAGAGGGCGTTCCTCTGTATTTTACTTTTTAAAAACTTCAACAAACAAAACTTGGAAATGAACATAGACGTATCCAAGCACTTCTCCTTCAAGATAGTATGATGGCCCTCTTGGTAGAATCTCAAAGAGCACCTATTTTTGAAGAGCCTCAGAGTTCACACAGAAACTGTAGCGGGTTGAACTGTCTCCCCCAAAAGATATGTCCACACCCTAACCCCTGATACCCACAAATGTGACCTTTTTTAGAAACAGGGTCTTTGCACATTTACATCTGTAATCCACCTAGAATTAATGTTTTGTATAAGATCTGAGCAAAAACACTATTCTTTTACCGAATTGCTTCGGTGCCTTTGTCAAACATGAAGTGACTTCATATGTGATCTATTCATCTAACCTTGAGTCTGGTCCAAGTTGTCTCAATTACTGCAGCTTTTCAGTGAGTCAACTTGATATCAAGTAGTGTAATATTCTAAGAGGGAAGCAGCCCAAATAGGGCCCAGTGATGACAGGTCCAAAGACAAAGTAGGATGACCATCCCTCTTGTCTCAACCTGCTGATCAGACAAAAAGTCTTCCTACTCACCCGCTCCAAAATATGGTCACTGGGCAACCAGATGACCTCAAAGGCTCTATCCTGAATAAACCAGTTGAATGTTTCCCTAACGATATGATTGGCCGAAGGGAATGTGTTCTATTCTCTGATTCACACCGCAACCCACCATTGTGGCTAGACCTCTCAAAGAGCTCCTCAGAGGATCCCCACCTCTCTAAAGGTTAAAAAGAAAAAAAAAAAAAAATCAAGAGCTCAGCCCCTTCAGCTTTGTTAGTGTGGTTGTCCAGCTGAGAGGTTAATAAAGTCAAGCACTGCTATGACTTTGAGTCTTGCCTGTACTGAGGAATGGTGCTTCCACTATTACCATGCTCACCTGCTCCTACAAGTTGCCCTTTGCTTTATAAAGGAACTTCCGGGTTTCAGCACAGGTCTAAACATCCTCTATTATTTGAGCTTCTTTATGCCTTATTGAAAGCTTGAACCCACTATCTCAACCTCATTACATTTTCCCCTATCTGCTATGAGAAGCATTTTAAAGAATTCCTTTCCCTTATTTTTAACAGAAAGAAATAACACTATAATGTATGGCTTTGGAAAATGAAGAAGGCTGTGTATAATTTTGATTGTCAAGATTTTGTTTTGAAAGGGAAAACAGTCATGTTATACATTTGTGGGAGACTGTCTCTAGACACCATTAAAGATAGGCAGATTTTTGCAGTATTAGGCACATACAGGGACTTTGTTAAAACCTGGTGTGGGAGGTTTTTGACACTGATCTCAATTACACCTGAAAGTGCTAGATTATCTGAGTTTTCTTGTGACTTTTAAAAACATGTACATGGAGGAATCAAAGAATAGTAGGAAAGGAACTGGACTTGACGTCTGGGGATCAGGGATCTAAATCTTGGATTTGACAATGACACAATGACAATGACTGCAGGCAAACCCCTCACTCTCCACTGTAATTCTCTTCATCTTTAAAATGGAAGAATCATAATCAACTGAGTCAATTATATCTACAGTGCCTTTCATTTTTATAGATCTTTCTTTCTCAACTAGTGTCCCCCAATTATGACTGAAGGAAAAAATCTTTTATCACATCACATCTTATGACAAAGGAATGCCAAGCAATAATATTTTTATTAGAAAGCTGTTCACTGCCTTATACCCAGCTTCAGGCACACAGTAGGTATCCAAAAATGCTTGTTGAATAAAGCGTTATTTTTATTTCTGATGAGCAGATACCTACACATGCTATGTAGCTTGCCTTCTGAAACTCTGTCCATTGCCAGATCCATTAGACCACAACACTGCAGAGGGGGTCTCCAAGCAGAAAGGAGGCAAGGCCCAATCTAAGTTTCTAGTAACAAAAGCACGGTAAGAACACAGGGCTATTGGATCAATGGAATGGTGAGATGTCTTTTGTAGCTGGGGCATGGAGTTTATGGAGGAACATAATAGAAAACAGAGCTAGAAAGGTAGGTTGGAGACCAGTCCAGAAGGAGCCTGAACTCCCTGTGGAGGAACACAAATATCATTATATAGTGCATCCATCTTCCCTTACTAGTATGTCTGTTACTTCATAACAAATTACCACAAAGTAAACAACTTCAAACAACACACGTTTATTATCTCACTGCTCTGTAGGTCAGAAGCCCATACTAGTTTGGCTGGTTTCTCTGTTCCGGACTTCATAAAGCCCAAATCAAGGTGCTAATCATCTGGGATTTTATTGGAAGACTCTGGGAAGAACGCGCGTCCAAGTTCATTCAGGTGGTTTGCACAATTCAGCTCTTTGTGGTTGTAGGACTGAAGTCCACTTCCTCACTAGTGTCAGCTGGGAGCCTCTCCCAGCCGGTTCACGCCATCTGCATTGTGTGCCTCATAGCACTCTCCATCCTCAAACTAGTAATGGCACACTGAGTCCTTCTTATTCTTAGAAATTTTTTTAACTTCCCCATCTGCCACATTTCTGTATCCAGCTAGAGGA